ACTGAGCTATTTCGGCAGACGGGAGAAGAGTGACAGCGGGATTTAACAGTTCTTGCGTTTCGGTAAAACCGCTTTATTAGAGCTGTTGCACATTACTACATGTCTTTCACGCTGTTCCGGTTCTTTTGCAACGCCTACTGCCGCGATGCAATCTGAATCAGCATTTCTTTATCAAGCATGTGTGTTCACCTGCGTAACCGTTTCACTCGTTAGAATTATTGCGAAAATACTTGTATACCGAAAGATTTAACAAAAAAGTGCTTTGGACGCCGAAACCCGGGATCGCAGCAAGGACCTTTAGATGTTCAGTTTAACGCTCTCCGAACTGAGCTATTTCGGCAGACGGGAGAAAGTGACAGCGGATTTACCAGTTCTTGCGTTTTCGGTAAAATCGCTTTATTAGAGCTGTTGCACATTTTACATGTCTTTCACGCTGTTCCGGTTCTTTTGCAACAGCCTACTGCCGCGATGCAATCTGAATCAGCATTTCTTATCAAGCATGTGTGTTTACCTGCGTAAACCGTTTCACTCGTTAGAATTATTGCAAATACTTGTATACCGACGATCTAACAAAAAAGTGCTTGGACGCCGAAACCCGGGATCGAGCCAAGGACCTTAGATGTTCCGTTAACGCTCTCCCTAACTGAGCTATTTTCGGCAGACAGGGCGAGAAGGTGACAGGCTGGGAATTTAACAGTTCTTGCGTTTTCGGCAAGACCTGCTTTATTAGTAGCTGTTTGCACCCATTATTAAATGTATTTCCAACAGCTGTTCCGGTTCTTTTGCAACGCCTACATGCCGAGCATGCAGTCTGAATCAGCATTTCTTTATCTAGCATTGTGTTTTAACATGCCGTAAACCGTTTCAATCGTTAGAATTTATTGCACAAAAATACTGGATATACCGACAGGATTAACAAATCGTGCGTTAGACGCCGAAACCCGGGAGCGATCCTAAGGACCTTTTATAGCTTCAGGTTAAATGCTCTCCCAACGAGACTAGTTTAGCAGGGCACGGGAAAGAAGAGAGTGGCCAGCGGGATCTAACAGTTTTGCGCTTCTGGTATAAAACCGCTGTATAGAGCTTTTGCACATTACTACATGTCTTTCACTGCTGTTCTGGTTCTTTTGCACCGCTACTTCCGAGCATGCAATCTGAGCTCAGGCATTTCTTTTCAACCATGTGTGTTCACCTGCGTAACCGT